TCTCTAGTTGTGGCGTGCGGGCTCCAGGGTGCACGGGCTCTGTAGTTGTGGTGCACAGGCTCCAGAGAGCATGGGCTCTATAGTTTGAGGCATGCGGGCTCTCTCACTGAGGCGTGCGAGCTCAGTAGTTGTGGTGTGTGGGCTTAGTTGCCCCGCAGCATGTGGGATCTTAATTCCCCAATCAGGGATCGAGTCTGTGTCCCTTGCATTGGAAGGCAGATTCTTTACTGCTGGACCACCAGGGAAGTCCCCATATGCATTTTATTTTTAACTTTTTTTGAATATTTTCTTTTTAAAATTTATCTTTTATAGAAGTGCAGTTGAATTACAATGTGTTAATTACTGCTGTATAGCAAAGTGACTCAGTTATACATATATATATTCTTTTTCATATTCTTTTCCATTATGGTTTATCACAGGATATTGAATATAGTTCCCTGTGCTATACAGCAGGACCTTGTTTATCCATTCTATATATACCAGTTTGCATCTGCTAATCCCAAACTCCCACTCCTATCCTCTCCCCCTCCCCCTTGGCAACCACCAGTCTGTTCTCTATGTCCCTGATTCTGTTTCTGTTTCATAGATTAGTTCATTTGTGTCTTATTTTAGATTCTACATATAAGTGATATCATATGGTATTTGTCTTTCTTACTTACTTTGCTTAGTATGATAATCTCTAGGTCCATGCATGTTGCTGCATATGGCATTATTTCATTCTTTTTAATGGCTGAGTAACATTCCATTATATATAAACACCACATCTTTATCCATTCATCTGTCAATGGACATTTAGGTTGTTTCGAAGTCTTGGCTATTGTAAATAGTGTTGCTATGAACATAGGGGTGCATGTATCTTTTCAAATTATAGTTTTATCAGGGTATATGCCCAGGAGTGGGATTGCTGAATCATATGTAAACTCTATTTTTAGTTCTTTGAGGAATGTACATACTGTTTTCCATAGTGGCTATACCAATTTACATTCCAGCAGTGTAAGAGGGTTCCCTTTTCTCCACACCCTCTCCAGCATTTATTATTTGTAGCTTATTAAGTTTCCTTAAAACAGGGCTATTTTTAATTTTTTTTAATTTTTAATTTTAATTTTTATTTTTTTGCAGTACGCGGGCCTCTCACTGTTGTGGCCTCTCCCGTTGCGGAGCACAGGCTCCGGACGCACAGGCTCAGCAGCCATGGCTCATGGGCCCAGCCGGTGGGATCCTCCCAGACCAGGGCACGAACCCGTGTCCCCTGCATTGGCAGGCGGACTCTCAACCACTGCGCCACCAGGGAAGCCCAGGGCTATTTTTTAAAATAAATTTATTTATTTTATTTACTTATTTTTGGCTGCGTTGGGTCTTCATTGCTGCATGCGGGCTTTCTCTAGTTGTGGTGAGCAGGGGCTACTCTTCATTGCAGTGTGTGGGCTTCTCATTGAGGTGGCTTATCTTGTTGCAGAGCACGGGCTCTAGGTGTGCAGGCTTCAGTAGTTGTGGCACGTGGGCTCAGTAGTTGTGGTGCATGGGCTTAGTTGCTCCTCAGCATGTGGGATCTTCCCAGACCAGGGCTTGAACCCGTGTCCCCTGCATTGGCAGGCAGATTCTTGACCACTGCGCCACCAGGGAAGTCCCAAAACAGAGCTGTCTTGAATTATTTACTGGGTAAATTGCATATCTCCATGTCTTTGGGATTGGTAACTGGAAGATTATTGTGATCCTTTGGTGGTGTCATGTTTCACTGATTTTTCATGTTCCTTGAAGTTTTGTGTTGCTGTCTTTGCATTTGAAAGAGCAGCTTCCTCCTCTAGTTTTTACTAACTGCCCTTTTCAATGCATCCAAACTTGTATTTTTTTGCTTCAGTGGTGTGCTGGAACTTTACACCAAACCTGGACTTCCACAAAGACCCTCTTGTCTGCGGGTGATTTTCTAAGACAGTGTTTGCCACGGCCCCTAGACTGTGTCTGAGAGGGGCTGCAGTTGGTTTGTGGGCCCCTCAGGGTCCACAGCTGGGACCAAGGTTTGTACGTCTATTGCCTGAAACATATGTGGGTGAGACTCCTCCTGGGTCCCTTGGCATATGGTGCTGGATCCCACAGCTCCCATAAAAGCACTCTTGTCCATGGATGGATGCCATATTGTTTGTTGTTGAAGGCAGGACACAAATTAAGGGTATCTTATTTAGCCATGATGCACCTATATATTAATAGCAGCATACCACATACACAGTTCTGCGTTTTACATTTCACTTAATATCTCAGAGAGTATTCCATACCAGTACATAGAGATCTATCTCATTCTTTTTAACAGCTGCATAGCAACCCATTGTAGGAGTATGACATAATTTAACCCATTTTAAAAAATTGAGGTGTAATTGACATATAACATTATATTAGTTCCAGGCGTACAACATAATGATTCAATATTTGTATATATTGCAAAACATCACCACAATAAATCTAGTTAACATCTGTCACTATACAAATCCATTTTGGGGGGATAGACACTTAGGTTGTTTCTGGTCTTTTGTAACTATTGACAGTGTTGCAGTGAATACTCTTGTATACACGTCTTTGTGCCCCTGTGTGAGCATTAACGTAGGATAAATTTCGTAGAAGAATTGCTAGGTCAAAAGGTATATGCATTTAAATTATAATAGCTGTTGACAAATTGCCTTCAGTGAGAGAACTATTTTATAGTCCCACCAACAATGAACAAGAATGTCTTTCCCTACAAAGTGATTTTTGCCAATCTGATACTAAAAATCTTACCTTAATTTTAATCTGCATTCCTCCTATTATGAGGGGGTTGAATATTCTTTCATTTGTTTAAAAGTATCACTTTTCTGGGCTTCCCTGGTGGTGCATTCGTTAAGAATCTGCCTGCCAATGCAGGGGACACGGGTTCCATCCCTGGTCCGGGAAGATCCCACATGCCACGGGGCAACTAAGCTCGTGTGCCACAACTACTGAACCTGCATGCTGCAACTACTGAAACCCATGCACCTAGAGCCCATGCTCCACAACAAGAGGAGCCACCACAGTAAGAAGCCCACTTGCCACAACTAGAGAAAGCCCGCCTGCAGCAATGAAGACCCAGTGCAGCCAAAAATAAACAAATAAATTTATACAAAAAAAGTATTACTTTTCTATGAACTGTGTGTTCATGTCCTTTGCCCACTTAATGCATTCTTTTATATTAATGTTTAACAACAAAGACACTACTCTCCCCTTGTAATTTGCTCAAGAATCTCCTCAAAGGGAGGAGGCCCTCTTGGACAGGTGTTCAAGGTCCTCCACAATCACAGCTCCCTCTTTTTAACTCATATGGGCCTCCTTCCCAAACACCACTGTCTGTTCCTAAGGAAGGGCACCTTTATGGTCTCCTCAACACCCCATACCCCTTCCACAATCCCATGTTTGCTCTCTCATCCCTCTCCTCTGGGATGTGTTATTCCCAGTCAAATCTGACCAGTCCTTCAGGGTCCAGCCAAATTCCACGTGTCTGGGGCATATTCCTTCCTTCCTTCCTTTCCTTTCTTTCCTCTATAGTTGATTTACAATGTTGTGTTAGTTTTTGCTGTACAGGAAAGTGAATCATTTATACATATATCCACTCTTTTTTAGATACTTTTCCCAATATAGGTCATTACAGAGTATTGAGTAAAGTGCTATACAGTAGGTTCTTATTAGTGGGGTGCCTTTCTGAATCTAGCCTACAGTCTCACTTTCATGTGAGCTGCATCCCACCAACTACCTCCTATGTCCCTCAAAGGCTGGACCTGACACCTCCCAGAGCCCAGCTTCCTCTCTGTCCATGCTCAGTGTGCAGGGATGTCAGGGTGGAGTGTTCTTCATGCACTCAAGCCACATTTATTGACTATATATATGAGTCAGGCACTGTTCCAGGCACTGGGGATATGGCAGTGAGTGAGACAGAACACGGCCCCTCCTCTCATCCAGCTGACATTTTACTGGTGTGTTTGTGTATGTGTGATAATGTACAACAAAAAGGCAATAAACAAACACAAATAATGTCAACTATGTGCACAGAAGTAAAGGAATAGTGAGTGGAGGAGGGGAAAGGTCTCCTTTAGACAGTGAGGTCAGGGGAGGGATCCCCCAGGAGCTGAGATGATATCAAGGACTGAGAAGGCTCCAGTCATGCAAAGAAGCTTCCAGAGCCCCCATTACAGACCCCCACCCCCACCCCCGCTTGGAGGGTCTGTTCTTCTAAAGATGGATGAGATGCAGCACAGCTCTCAGCACCTGTCTGTCACTTGACAAGAATTGAAGGCAGAGACCTGTTATTCCTTCCAACTTCAGGGCTATGTGTTGGTGTGTCGGGGGAGGACCTGCACCCTCCTGCTTCATACGCCAGCTGCAAACTTGGGAAAATGAAATCATGGCTGACCTGGGATTAACAGAGCACCTATACGTGCCCGGGTCCAGTTAAGTACTTTACACCACTGTTATTTCATTTAATCTACAGAACAATCCCATGTAGTATTTATTACTAACTTTATTTTACAGAGGAAGAAACCGAGGCTCGGAGGGAATATGGAAGTAACCTGTTGAGGTTTACATGGTTCAGAAAGAAGTACAGTTCCTGGAGAGAGTTGTGTCGTGGGTGTCCGGTGGGGTTTACCGGCGCATTCGGGAAGCACCCTGTCTCAGGAGTTGGCCCGCCGCGCCCCGAAGGCGGCCCCCGCCCTGCTCGGGTCTCGTGGCCTCAGGGGCCAAGGGGCGCGCGGCGGGCTGGGGGCGGGGAAGGCGCGGGGACAAAGGCCGCGGCTACCGCGCTGGGGCTGGCGGGTACAGCGGCGAACTCCCGCGGCGGTGCCGGGACTCTACCTGGGCCCTGGCCGCCGCACGCCCGCGCCCCGAGGGGCCAGCGCCGCAATGGAGCGCCCGGGGGCGCAGTTCGGGCCCGCGCGGGCCGAGCCCGCCTGCTCGCCGCCCGCACCGCCCCCTCCCCCGCCTCCGCCCCCTCCCTCCCTCCCCGCGGCGGCCGCGGCTACTCAGTGCGCGGCGAACATGGCGGCGGCGGTCGGGCGGGACACTTTACCTGAGCACTGGTCCTACGGCGTGTGCCGGGACGGCCGCGTCTTCTTCATCAAGTGCGGCGCGGGAAAGCGGGGACGCGGGCTGGGGCGCGGGCCGGGCGGGGGTGCGGGGCCGGGCGAGCGCCCCTAGAGCGGCGGCGGCGCTAACAGGTGCATCTCTCTCTCCGCAGCGACCAGCTCCGATGCACAACCTGGCTACACCCGCGCACCGGGGAACCAGTCAACTCTGGCCACATGATCCGCTCAGGTGGGCGCCGGGCCGGTGGGGTGGGGCGCTCGGGGGAGGGGGTCGTGCGCCTGGGTGGCCCAAGTTTGACCGGACTTTTCTCGCGTTTCCACAGACTTGCCCCGCGGCTGGGAGGAGGGCTTCACGGAGGAGGGCGCCAGTTACTTCATCGAGTGAGTGACGGGGCGCCGCGCCTTCACCTGTGCCTCGGGGTCCGACCCGTTTCCCGCCGCGCCGCCGCCCCCCCTCCTCCCGCGCGGGTCCGGCGAGTTGGCGCGCACTGCGCCGCGGCCGCACTCATGTGGGCTATTTTGTGCCTGAGTTGTGTGGCGGGCTCCAGGCGGAGGCGAGGCGGGGGCCGCATCTCCGCAGGGGGACCCGGGCGGGGGTCCGGTATCCGGCCCGATGCGGGTGCCGGGGCTTCAAACTGCGGCCGGGACGCGGCGATTGGGCGGGATTGGGGCGCTGGTGTGAGCGGTCGGACACACCTCCGCGCTGGGGTCTCAGGCTAAGCGGAGGCTGGCGGTTGCCGGGGCCGGGATGGCCCGGGGTGGGGAGAGCAGAAGTAGGGGTTCTGACTCGGGTCCAGCAACTGGGGTTGGGGAGGAGGGGGGGTGGGGAAAGAGACGAATGGCATCTCGTCAGGGGTACTTCCTCTTCGGCCACGTTGTCCGGGATGGTGGTGGAAAATCGGCACCGCAGCCCCACTTCTCCAAAGCGCGGGCCTGCGGGGGAGCGATGGGGCTGGGGAGGGAACCGGTCAGCCAATAGCATTCCTCAAACACTAGGTGTCTTCAGCTGGCGCTTTACCGGGACTATCACTCCTGCCTCTGCTCGTCAATCACACTCCTGCCTCTGCTAGTCAGTCAGTGGCTTTTCCTCAGAAGCTCGGGAGCCTTGCCCCAGTCGTCAGGTACCCTAGACCTAGGTCTGTAGAAATGAAATCGAGGGGCAGTGAGTTAAGGCGCCGTCCTGACGCTAACACTAGTATAGTCTTTAATTTCCCTCTCTGGGCGTGTACCTGGGTTGCAGCGTTTCTCTGCAACCCTCTGCCTGCTCGCAGGTGAGCTCCATGAGGTCGGAAACTGCTTTTGATCCTTTGCCGCAGTGCCTGGCACAGAGTAGGCACTCGGTAAATGTTTGTTCACTGAGTGAATAAACTAGGCAAAGGATAGAGGTTGGTGTATTTTGGGGGACTGTGAGTTAGAATTCCTTTCTTCACCAACTAAAACACTGCTAGTCAGTAGTGGAGCAGCATATTCGAAGCTCGGATGGTCCCAGAACATCCCAGAGCCTCCCTCCCGGTTTGGGCTCTGACAGGTGGTTGAAATCCTGATGGATGAGATTTATAGAAATGAGCCCTAGCCCTGTGACTGTGGTTCTGCTCTCCTACCTCACATTTGTATTTGAGAGAGAAGTTGGGGAGCTGGCTGGGACCTCAAACCTCTTGGTCAGTGGGCCTCTCTGGCTCATAACTGCATCCATTGATGTTATTAGATTTCTCCTGTGTACCACACATTGTTGTAAGCATTGGGACTACAGAAGTGAAGAGGCAGACACTGGTCGGCTGCTCAGGGAGCTTGCAGTTGAGTGGGGGGGGGAGGGGAGGAAGCAGAAAAATAAGGGAAAAAACAAACAGGAATAATGTCAGATAGTGGTAACTACTATGCAGAAAATTAAAATGAGATGATGTGATAAGTAACTGGGTGGTTTGGTTGGATTGGGAGGTTAGTGTTGGTGTTTCTGGATAGGTAACATTTAAGGTAAAATTTGAATGACGAGAAAGAGCCATCCTTGTGTAGATGAGGTGGCAGAGCATTTCCAGGAGAGAGAAACTGCCAGTGGAAGGGCTTTAAGGCACGAAAGAGCTTGGAGTTCAAGGAGCAGAAAGGCGGGTGTGTCTGGAATGTGGTGAACAAGGGAGAAGGTGGCAGGAGAAGAGGTTACAGACAAGAGAGAGCTGAATGGTACAGAGCTTTGTGAGCCAGGGTAAGGAGTGACACAAATGATTTACTTTTTAATTTTATTTTGGCGGCTTGCAGGATCTTAGTTCCCCGACCAGGGATCGAACCTGGGCCCCGGCAGTGAAAGCTCTGAGTCCTAACCACTAGACTGGCAGGGAATTACCTGATTTACATTTTCAGAATGGTCTCTCTGCCTGTTCTAGAGTGGGCTGTAGGTGGGCAACTGTAGGGATAGTAGTAGGAGGCTGTTGCTGTAGTCCAGGCAAGTATCATTGATGGCCTGACTGAGGGTGGCAGGTAGCATCAGAGCTGGAGAGAAGTGGTCAGATTCAGGCTTGGTGACTGGGTTGCACTCTGCGAGAGAAGGAAAAGGGTCAGAGATGACTCCCAGGGGCTTGAGCACCTGAGTGGATGGTGTTTATATTGAGATGGGAAGGCCGGGAGGAGCAGGTTTGGAGTGGGGGAGAGCGTGAGATCTTTTTGTGCTATGTTACATTGAGATGTGAATATATCAATTAGTCAGATGTGTGAATCTGAGCCCAGGAAAGAGAGAGGACTGGAGATATACATTTGGGTATTATAGGTGTTATTCAAGGCCACAGGATTAGATGAAATCACCTAAGAAAAGAGTGTAGACAGAAAAGATGACCTCAGCCTTGGGACAGAGCAGCATTTGGAGATTGGCAAAAGAGAAGGACTGAGAAGGTAGGAGAAAATCCAGGAGAATGAGGGCTCCCAGAAGCCTGAAGGACAAATCCTGAGTGGAACAGGTGGAAGAGAGCACATGGGGTAAGGAAATGGAGTCAGTAAGTATAGGTGAATATTTCAGGTAGTTTTGTTACAGAGTGAAGTTGAGGAACTAGCTGAGAACTGGAGAGGATGTACATTTGGAGGGGGGTGTCTTTTTTTAGAGGGAGATTGTAGAGCGTGTTTTGTTTGGATGGGAATTATCCAGAAGAGATGGAGAAATAGATGATGCAGGAAAGAGATGGGACAATTACTGGAGTAGTGTTTCAGAGAAGGTAGGAGGGAAGCATCCAGGGCTTAAGTCTCACTGGTCTCAGATGGGAACAGGGCATTTCATCCATTTGTGGAAAGGAAGGGGCTGAGTACCAGAGCTGATGTAAGGAGGTTGATAAGGTTGGTGAGGGGAGAGGTGGGTGTTTCTGTCTGATAGTTTCGGTCATTTTCATGAGGTACTAGGCAAAGTCTTGGGCTGGGGGACTTGAGGGGTGTGTAGAACTCTATAGGCCATAGTCACAGCCTCCCAACCTTCCTGTCTTTTGCTGACTCTTCTATAGTAACTGTGTGTCAAGTCCCTGGTGATCATCTTACAGCAAGCTCTGGCTCCCTACCCCCCAGGGCCTTGGCTGTGTCCTCCCAGGCCTAGGGGAAAGCTGTATGTGACAGTGTCCCCCCGCTCAAAGGTGAACCATGTGGGGAAGCTGAGACCCTGTGGCCGCTGATTATATTTCCTACCTCCCGTGACAATTTCTTGAGAGACTTAAGGGTTTGGGAGTAATTGTTCTCCTTTTTCCTACATAAAACATGTTTTGCTTCACTCTGCTTTCTTAGATCTGCTACGAGCATTTCTGAGTGTTCAATTTTGTTTTTTTTTGGTCCTCCTCTAATAGGGCTCAGTTAGAGGGACAAAGCATTGGCACAGCTGCTTTTATTTTCCCCAGTGGATCCTCGGACCAGAGAGCTGTGCGAAGTTTTCAGGATGCATCAGTTGCTCCTGATATTTAGCAGGTGTTTGAATACTTTCCAGAGAAAAATTTCTTGAAGCAGAAAACCTTGAGCTAAGGCAGGTGGATTTTAGTTTTGATTTCTGCACTTTTGGTTCATTTTTGGATTAACTTGGGACAAAACATGGTTCTCCCAATTCTAGACTAGGTGATGCTGATATCTCCTAAGAAGACTTCCTGTACTTTAAAACTTCTTTACTTTCCCATGAGTCTCTTAGCCAGGTAACAAGTTATGATAATAATTGTGGGGCTTCCCTGGTGGCGCAGTGGTTGAGAGTCCGCCTGCCGATGCAGGGGACACGGGTTCGTGCCCCGGTCCGGGAAGATCCCACATGCCGCGGAGCGGCTGGGCCCGTGAGCCATGGCCGCTGAGCCTGCGCGTCCGGAGCCTGTGCTCCGCAACGGGAGAGGCCACAACAGTGAGAGGCCCGCGTACCGCAAAAAAAAAAAAAAAAAAAAAAAATTGTGATAATAGTGTCATTAACGGCAACAGCAATAATAGTAGTAGCGATTATGTGATAGCTTCATCTTTCTGAGTCCTTGGAGAATGCCAGGAACTGTTTTATAGCTATTATCTGACTTAATTCTCACAACAACTTGATGAGGTAGGAACTGTTACTAGTCCCATTTTACCGATGTGGAATCTTATATAATCCTGGGCATTCAGGCAGCAAAGGGCAGTTGCCTTTCTCCAGTACCTTTTCTTATCTGATCCTTCTAACAGTCCCTAGAAGCAGCAGATCGGGGATTACCCATTTTTCAGATGATGAAACTCAGGTTCACGAGGGTTCAGTAATTTGGCCGAAGTGTTAGAGCTGGGACTAGACCGTAGGTCTTCATGGTCACCATGGTAGTGGTGGTGGCTCCTACCCCAGATCACAGGTGAGAGCCAGCGTTGGTACTTGAAGGAGCCTTGTGTGCCACGTGCCACTGCTCCGAGTCAAGCTGACCAGGGCTCATGTGTCTGCACCTCTTCTTTGTTTTGCTGGGGATTGAAGTGCCTTGGAAGGGCAGCAGCCCTGGTGTCCTATGCTGTCTGGTGGTGGTGTGTGTCTCTGATTAGTAAGAAGTGGAAGACATTAATTTTTTTTTTTGCACCGCGTGGCTATCAGGAACTTAGTTTCCTGACCAGGGATCAAACCCGTGCCCCCTGCAGTTGGAAGCATGGAGTCCTAACCACTGGACCTCCAGGGAATTCCCCATTATTACTTAGTAAAAACAGTTTGGCAGACACAGCCTTTTCAAACATGAAACCCATGAAGGAAAAGTTCTAGAAGAGGCCTTGGGAGCTAGAGTGTTACAGTGGGCTGGGCTTCAGGGTTTCATGAAACCCTGTGGGTTGGGTTCTCCCTACAGCAGGCTTTGAATAGATCTTGAGTCAATAAGGAGGATGAATGGCAGAGAGGAGGGGTCTTGCCTTCTCTGAGACTTTGGTGCCAAGCCCAGCACTGGGCACTGAGT